AAACTTCAATGGAAACACTTTTTTCGCATCATGGGAGCCACGTGATCAACAACCGGCTGTTTCTACTGGCGAAAAAGACGACGAAGAAGAAAATAACAGGAAGTAGAAGTAGTAGTAATATCACAGAAGTAGTAATAGAAAGTAGTAAACTCACCGACTACAATTTCCCAAAAACTCAGCATACGTAGCCGCTCCCAAGTAAGGGTTTGTCGCTGGAAAGCCTCGACAAAAGACTCCGACGTCTCCTCTGATGATGAGCACTAGTGTCGTGGTAGCAATATGCTATGTGTTTACATCCATTGCCGCCATGTTTGTAATGACTTATCGCGAGAACAAACGTATTCACGCGTGACTTTAATAGCATTTCTTACTTAATGTAAACACCGCAGTTGCGAAACTGTGTTTTTCGACATTAACAGAATATCGACAAAGTTTTGCGCACATTTGCAATGGAAACGCAGCTATTAAAAGTTTGACATAGTCCCCGCCGTCTCTGAAAGTGAAGCACTGCAGAATTTACAAGTTGCTGTATGTAGATCTTGTCTCATTTATTTCTGCACAGCTTATGTGTCGCTAATCAGCCTTGGCTACCACCACACCAAATATTTGGTTATTCTGTAAAAGTTACAGCTTTTTTGTGCTTGCTAAGACTACTAAGCCACGGTGGCTGTCTTGAATGGGGTTGATTCCAAACGGTTCAAGTTGAAGATGTTCATCCAGTGATTACTTTGAGACTTTTATTAAAATTTATTCAGTGAAGATATGTTGCTAACAAACACAGAAATGGCCAAAAATCTTACTGCCCTTTCACCTTAGGCAGTGGCTGATTTAACTACAACATAATCAGGAGGGCAGGGATGAACAAAAACAAGACGACAGCTGAACAGAAGCCGTCATCATTGGTTTGATTGACAGGACTCCCTGTAGGTTTGGTCCCCAGGGGACCAGGCCTCACTGTGGAGACATCATGCAGATTCAATATTTACCACACTCAGCAGACATAATCAAACTCAGTCAGGTAATATTAAGTATAGCTTCTATATCCGATTGTTGACACGAAGCTGCCGAGCTTCACCTGAAGTGAGTGTTCGAAGACGATGATTTCATCTTCAGGTTTTGCAGATTAAAACTCTCTGTGGTGCAGGGAAACCGTGTTCAGGCTCAGATTAAACCCCGGCAAAGTGTTTTTAAGCTTTATTGTCCCTCTGCCCACGGAGAGCGGTTTGAGCACCTTTCGTATTTTCATCTCGCACATCGGGCTTTTAATTACGGGACATATTGAGCAGTGTGTCCAATGCACAATGGCTCCGCTGGAATATTCATGTCCGAAAGTTGGAGGGAGGTGGGGGAGAGGAGTGAAGGGAGATGTAATTGTAATTAGCGAAGGACCTGGTGCTGCCAATTCTCTGGAGAGTCGCCTGCTGTTTGCATCCTCGTGCATGTGTGTCCTCCTTGGCTCTCCGTACCTGGACACACCAGGGAGTTTGAGGAGCTCTCTTGGCTTAACTAGAAGATGTACCTGCCTGTCTGCTAGCTTCCGGGCTGAAGTGGCTAGTTAACACGCGTGCTTGTGTGTATGTGTTTACTCTCTACTGTGTGTGTGTGTGTGTGTGTGTGTGTGTGTGTGTGTGTGTGTGTGTGTGTGTGTGTGTGTGTGTGTGTGTGTGTGTGTGTGTGTGTGTGTGTGTGTTAGCAAAGGCCTCGTCTCAAGTCTCAGCAGAGACTTGTTGTCTAAGATTAATGAAGGTCACCGGAATTCTCCAAAGTATTTCGATAATTAAGGCTTTGTTTATCAAAAACAAGTTATATTAAGAGCAAAAAGATTCATGGTAATTATTCATAATCTTAACAATTCAAGTGTAGCCACCTCATTTGTGCCTTTAATTCTTCTTGTTAATGTTTTGCATAAATCTGCATAATTACTTGAGATGCCTGTTGTATTTTTGACAGCTACTCACTTCGTGTGCACTAAAGGGTATCGAATGGGCCACATGCTGCATGCTTAAAAAGTGCTCGTGAGGCTGGAGCACCCAGAGCAGATTTCAGCCATCAAACCAGCGGTAATGCATCCACAAAACGGGGTGTTTTTGATCAAATGGAGTAAATGAACGTTTCTGCTTCTGAAGGCTTTTATGAGAGAGACATTCCCTCGCCTGAATCACTCTGCAAAGTGAGATTATTGCAGCTCTGATCACTCAGGCCTCTGACAGGTGCTGTGGGGGTAGTTTGGTTGTGTATTTTTGGTTGTATAGTTTTAAAATTAAATGAAACCTGTTGGGTCTGTTTTTTTCCCCCTGAGGTCTCTCTAAAAGCAATAAATTATCTACATAACATGACTGAGTGCACTAAGATCGAGAGTACCAAAGCACTCCTAAACTCTGTTTTCAGCTGTTCGTTTGATAAAACAGTTCCCTGGGATTCTCTTTGACAAATCAGACGTAGGCTACTGAAACTCACAAACTCAAGAATTGTTGTCATGTAGTCGGTCTCAGTGTACCCCACACCCTTAAAAAAGACTTTTCCTCATTATCCACCTTTCTGTCCATTTTCTATGGTTTATTCATGGTTGGGTGGAGGACAGAAGTGATGTTCACAAATGATCTGAATCTTTTGAATTGACCGGTTCCTTACAACAAATGATAGGAACCAAGTTGTGGACAGTAAAGAGCTGTTCCTAGTTTTATTTTTTTTACACCTCAAAATGTCTATTTTTACCTCTTCATCCACAGAGACAATTGCTCCTCCATCACTTTTTACAGCAAACAGAGGAGTGGAGTACAGCAGCTCAGGATGAAAGGGTTTCACCTGAAAAAATCCACAGTACAGCCCATGTGATGAATTAATACATCTCTGCGTGATGACGTCACGCATTCAAAATCAGACGACTCTATGAAGAAAGCAGTTTGTTCAATTCAATTCAATTCAAAAATACTTCCTGCTTATATACTGCCTCCAGCTCCTCTTGGGGAATCCCAAAGTACTTCCAGGGAAAAGACGATACAGAATCCCTTCAGCAAGTTTTGGGTTTGCCCTGAGGTCTCAATCTAGTGGGACATGCCTGGAAAACCCCAAATGGATTTTTCAAGGAGGCATCCCAGTCATATGCCCGAACCCCCTCACCTGAGTCCTTTTGATGCAGAAGTGCAGCGGCTCTACTCTGAGCTGATTTGAGTTTCTTTTCCAATGTCTAAGGCTGATCACGGACACCCTGGATCTCATTCTTTCAATCGTGATCTTTACCCTTTGATCAAAGGGAACAGTTCAATCATAAGTGAAGCAGTAAATCAAAAGCTTTGCCCTTCAACACAACCCTTTCTTCACCATGACAGACCAAAGCAATGCTCTCATTACTGCTGATGAGGCCCTGATCCGATAGATGATCCATCTCCTGATACATCCAACAGTCACTCAAGAGATTCATAAACATTTGCACTTGAGGCAAAGACTCATCCCCAGTCCCTGATTCTCACATCTTTTCTAATAAATTACATTTGTTTTGAGTTTTTAGGGATCCACTGGTAAAGGATTTTTACAATTTACAATTTTGAGGAGGAGTTATTCTCAGAAATCTTAGTTTTTCTCACCAAAAGCTCTTACTTTAACCCTACTAATATGTACCGTTCAATTTTGACCCTTTTATAAGTTTTCACCCTGGAAAATCTTGTTTCCTTCTATCTGATTTAGATGAAATTTCACAACTTTGTTCCCAAAACTTCATATAAACAGATACAAATAAGTGTTGGTCATTTTAATTAAGTTCTGAATACTTTATTTAACCTTGTTACACCTTTGATGTTCCTTGTCAAAAATAATAATACCATGACTCTATTGGACATCAGGACCATTAGGTTGGCAGGTAGACATACTTCAGATCAGAATTGTGAAGTAACTAAGTACAAATACTTTGTTACTGTACTTAAGTAGAAACTTTGGTTGTTTGTATTTTACTTGAGTAAATATTTTTCAGCGTACTTTTTGCTTTTACTCACATTTTTACAGAATTATCTGTACTTTTTAAAAAAAGGTAAGAAGTAGAAAGTCGTTACTCCTATTTTATTCTGAGTTGTTATTACTTATAAAAATACTATCCTGATAAATTGTGTCTCCTGGATAGAGTGAATTTAATTGTGGTTGGATAAGTATAAATATATACCATTCTGACACCATATTAGCTTGTACACAACACAGCACAGCTGCACGCTGTTAGAAAATATATTTTTTGGAGAAGTCACCTCCCAATAAATGTCATTTTTGGAAAATCTAACTGCTCACTTTTACTCAGTACTTTTACTTTTAATACGTAAGTAGATTTTGTGTCAGAAATTTACTTTTGATACTTACAGTAAGTACAAAAAATATCTGATACTTTAAGACTTTTACTCAAGTAATATTTTTAGAGAAGACTTTAACTTTTACCAAAGTATTTTTATGATAAGACACTTGTACTTTTACTCAAGTATCACTTTAAGGTACTTTATACAATGCTTCAGATACACATGTAAGTTGAGTTGGGTTGGCTCCACAGACTGATGAACATTTCCTAAAAGCTTCATTTAAATTTGTCCTCCTACCAAAGAAGAATTTTTGAGCCTTTGTAATTTCTGAACAGAGAGAAAGGAGCCTGGATTATATTCCATCTGAGCTTTTGAGCAGCTTGTGCACTGAAAAAGTATTTTTTTAATCTAATTTCGTAGTTTATCCCTTTCAGATCTGCTCCATAATATGAAATGTGTGTCAATCAGCAGACTGTGTGTGCTGAGGTGCAATGATTGCATGTTAATGATTACAACATGGAAATGCTCTCCTTCAGTTTACACAGTCTGCTAGTGACCTCCGGTAACACACACTCTGTGATATTGGCCCTAATAGATTGTTGTGTGTGTGTTTTTATCTTCAGCTTGGGTTATTACACAGAGTGAGACTGCCCTATTAGCACAGTGACAGGACTGATTTAATTTACCTTTTGTCCTCTTCTTCCTCTGCCGCTGTCTTTTATTTAGCATGCAGTGGACGTGGCCTGTAATGTCTCTCTGATTGGACTGCACCGGCTGATGGTTTTAATAAACACACACTCCGAGGAGGTCAGAGGTCAACATCATTTAGATTCATTTGCTGCACAGGTAGGAAAAACCTGCAGATGATTCAACACATGAACACTCTTATAACCAGGTTCACTTTAAAGGGGTAGTCTGGTCATTTTTGATGTGTTGTGTCAAATAGTTATCAATGGTTAGCTGGAGTTTGGGGAAGAGTCCAGAAGTATTTCTCCTAGCTAGGCTAATTTCTACATAAACTTATTTTCACAAGTATATTTTCAAAATTTTAAAACAACTCTTTCTCACAAGCATGTGGGTTTGAAAGACGGCTACATTGTCAAATATTAAATCTGTCAGTTTTACTGATTTTGAGCTTAAATTTGGTGTGTTAGCAAATAAGACTGATCCCAAACCTTTAGCTATGCTGAGCACTGACCGGCTGCATGAGATTTGTGTTTAAAGCTTAATCAACTGTATGAACTGAACCACAAATAAAAAATGTTTGTCAGCAAAATATATAATTTATCATTGAACAATTTATTGAAATTTCAGAAACTAATGTTTGAACCTTCAGTACATCCGGTGGTGGAGCCAGACAATTTTCACAGGGGTGGCCATACTGGGACTACTGCTCACACAGGGGTGGCCAGGAAAATTACATCATTTTTCCCATGAAAGTTTCTGTGGATCTTTGTGTTTTGGTAATTTCTTTATATCCTTATACAGGCAGTGATTACCTTGTAAATTACATCCTAAACTAGTGGATTCAGAATGATAAAACAATACTGTTTCATCATAGTCAGATAAAAAATAAATATTATAAAAATATGACTTGCCATCTTAAAGGAAAAATAAAATAAAATAAAATAAAATAAAATAAAATAAATTTCCTGCAGTGGCCATGGCCACCCCTGGCCACCCGCTGGCTCCACCCTTGAGTACATCTACAATAGCGTTGCCAACTCAGCTCCTCCAAGAATAAGAATCGTTTATTGTCATTCATACACAACATCGGATGCAATGCAGAATGAAATTTGCAGTTTTGAACATCCGTCCGGAGAAACACACACACATGACAGACACGGGGGAACGAATGTCCAGAACCCAGCGCAACGACGTGCGCTACCTTGCAGTTTAGAAAACACACACACATAGGAAGGATGAGTTTAAAAAAGAGCTTTGATCCTGTGTTTGATAACTAGTGTAATAACTAGCAAATATGGAATGTAATGCGTCATTTATGCGTCATCGCATTTCTTATTTTCCCAACATTGGAGCTACAACGACCTAAACAAGTTTTAAACTTGTTTCTGTTAGTTGCACGTTACATAATGGATTAAAAAGGGATTTGATCAGCACAATTGTTTTAATTAAGGGGCTGCAGCCCACGTAGACTGCGGCCCATGTAGGCCACACTCTACGTTGACCGTGGACCACCAGTGTTGGCTGCATAAACGGCTGTGAAATAAGACTGTCCAGTTTATGGAAGATGTATGTTTGCGTGACTGCGCGCTGCCCTATTACCATAGTGATACGTTTTATATCACGTGCCTTCTGTTGTTTTTTCACAGTATAATTTAACAAAGTTCATATAATAAAAAAAATCGTTGCATGTAAATAAATAAAAAGCATTAATCATTTGGGTTTAGCTCCTGTACTTTTAGCTGCATTTTATTTCACATCTCATTGCAGCAAAAATTCATCAAATAAGTTGCTTAACTCACAATTCTTTGGTCTGTGTTAAATTTCCAAACTTTGATGTAAAAAATGAACAAAATCTGCTGTAAAATAATTTAAAAAAAAAAACAACCTCAGCTGTTTTTGTTTTTCTGTTTAGTTTGCTGGCGACAGAAGGAATTCTGGCACATCGCCAGCCACATAAGATACTCAGATGCAGTCTAGGTTTTCAGTGATTTGTCGTGTGGGGCAGTGACGTAAGCGGACAACAAATGCGCCCTTTATTGGCTGTAACCCTTAAATTGAGACACAGCCAATATCTTGTGCTATAGCTCAGGAAACAAGTTCATGCAGTGGCCACAGTCTATGTTTCTGTCACGGGGCTCCTTTTACTAAGCGGGTAACGCAAATATGAAAGTAATTTCGAGGCCGTCAGGACTTCAAATGGTTGTTGCATTTGGTCACTTCAGTACCATCTCTCAGGAGTCCCTTTAGCTTGGGGGGCCATACAAATGCCTACCTGCCTGCTGTATCATGATGGCTCTGATTGCAGGCTGCAGTCAGAATATGGGAGAAAGAGCGTCCCATATGAGAGACTTCAATTTGGTTGAAAATACGTGACATTCCAGCTAATAGGGGTCAGTTGGCAACCTTAATCAACAAATGATAACCTTTTTAATAAAGCCCATTGGATGGCTGTGTTAGACAACTGACCTCAGAAAAACAATTGGTGCAAATCAGCAATTCTTTCAGTGAAAAGGTGGACAAAATAAATTTTTGCTTAGCTTTCACTGTTGGCAGAGGATGATAGTGACCAGATTTACTTTTTTTTAAACAATTAGCTGCTGAGGGAAAAAAAAACAGGTTTATTTTTCTTAAAACATTGCATATTTACACAAGTTTATTCTACAGCAACTGTGCCCTCTCTATGTGTGTGTGTGTGTGTGTGTGTGTGTGTGTGTGTGTGTGTCCACGGTGACGCACTCCTCTGCCGACCTTGCTCTGCAGCTCACAGAAACACGCAGCTCCGATGTGAACTGAAATTTGTCTAATGAAGTGAAGTCAAGAAACGACAAAAGGATGTAGGAGGAGAGGCAGGGAGACAAAGAGAGGAAGGAGAAGTTGTTGAAAAAAAACCCCCCAGAAAGCTTCAACTTTCTTTAATTATGTTTACCCAACAGGCTTTGCTTCCTCATTTAAATAGCATAAACATCTGGCCGCGGCGCACCACTAGCATGGCGGCAGTAGTCAAGCAAATCTTGTGGAAAATAATGAAATTAGATCCCTGGTGCTGTGACAGTGGAAGGGCAGGAGACATCCGCTCCATGTTAATAAAATTGCCATGAATGAGTGAATACAATTAGGAAATTGTCAGTGGCGGCAGTGAACTTTTGTAACTCGCCGATGTTTGCATCATTCGATTAGGGGCGGCAATTTGGACTTGTTTATTTGTGGCTGTTGTTGCTTTTATTAATGGTGACCCAGCAGTGATTGGCCTGCGATTAAAGCAGTCACATATGATGTGGCTGAAGCTAAGGGATGGATGGCTGGGCAGGCTGATGAAAGACAACCAGAGTCTGTTTATCTCTGCGGCAGGATGTCGCCCGCCGTCGAAAGGCGAAGACGCACAATAATGGTTTTGTCTGTATGTGCGTGTCCCGTGTCTGTTACCAAAATATGTCATGAACCACTGGATGAATTTAAATAAAACATACAGGAAATAATCATTGGATGTACTGTACTTCTACAACTGATTAACTTTGAAAATCAACACAATTCAAGATGGCTGCCACACCCCACTGAACTCCATCAGTTTTACTGATATTGATCCAGTATTTGGTGTGGTAGTAGCTGAGACTGATTGCCAAGACATAATTTGAGCGTCAACAAATATATTGTGCAACGGCACAATATATTTGTTTAAAATTTAGCCATTAAATGAAGTCGACTTGTTTGTCTGTTAGCAAAATATTTTAGAAACCACTTACCGAATTTTAATTAAACTTTCATAAAGTTGTCACTGGATAAATGTCTACAACTGATTAACTTTTGAAGCCAATTTAATCTTCTGAGATAAACTCCTAAAACAACTGAGCTTAGAAAACATAAAAATGACATTAATTCAGTCAGTTTTACAGATATTGAGCTAGAATTTAATCTGGTTAATAGTGAGGAGGGTTCCCAACACATACTGTACTTCAAGAGCAACATCGTTGTGCAAAATTTTTGCCTAAAACTTTAGTGTTATCTGCTAGAATGAAATTTGATTTGTTTTTCTGTTAGCAAAATATCTCATGAACCACTAGATAGATTTTAATGGAACTTTAGAAAGTAATCACTGGATGTGCATCAACAGTTATTGAATGTTTGGAGACAATTTGAGATGGACGTCAAGGGTAATCAAACAGCTAACACAAAAATGGCTGTAACTTACAGAAACTGAGCTAAAATTTGTGGTTGTAGTTCTAAGTCATTACTAACACATACTCTAAATGTGACATTTTGCATGAATTCACATAATTAATTTTACGTAATAAATGATTTTATTTTTAACGTTTGACCAACGCAGCTTCAAATTCTTAATTTCTTAAGAAGAAATGATTGTAATGTAAAACTTTGTTATGAAAGGCAACAAGTGATGCATTCCTTGTTAAAACAGAAGCAGTGAACACATCTGTTGATAACTATGGATTTAGACTGATGTTATTTTTACCACATAATTATTTTTAAATTCTAAATTTTGCATTTACTCAGCCAATCATTTTTTTCTTCTGCACTTCAAAAATGTGACATTTTTCTAAATAAATATTGTAATATGTGTAGTTAAGAATAGACTTTATACAGTATATCTTTCAGTTTTCACATCTTGTTTGGACAGAAAATTATAAATTGAAATCAGAACTTCCCTACACCCTAGGCAGTTGCCTTTCTTTCTAACATCCTTAACAACTTAATCACAGTATTTTAATCAGAGTATTAAATAAAAAGGATAATTGTGCAGTAATTATAATATTCTGAACATCTCAATAAAAATATGTGAAGTGCATTTAACAATGACCAAAATTCCATATATCGTTCAATTATAGTTGTCTCTATTTCTTATTAAAATGTCATTAAAAGGTTTAAAAATCACTCAAATGCATTATTGTATTTATCTTGAACCAAAAAACCAAATGCTTCCATAAATTAAAATAAAAGCCTAGTCTCTTTATATAATGCACATCACATGTCACTTTTCATGCCTAAGTTAAGTAAAATAAATATGGATATATCTTAGAAGGAGTTTTGTGAATTACTATCAGCTACTACCACATTTAAATTTAGGTCAGTATCTCTAAAACTGACTGAATCATGGTTAGTTTTGTGTTCCAAAATGTTGATTAACTGTGGCAGCCATCTTGAATTGG